GGTCAGAGTCTATTCCAGGTCATGGGCAAGTATTTGGGTGATCTTTTTAGCTTTTGCAGAATGCAGGCAGCAAAGGAGTTAGGTAGAAGGTAGACTTGAAGTCACACTATTACTTGTGGCCAGCTTTAATGGCTCCTGAGAAAAGCTTATGTTATCAGGAAATATTAGGCTGCTCACTTACAAACTATGCAAAGAAACAATGATTCGAAATAGCATGGACACCCATGAATAAGAGTTTACTTTCACAAAAATGCACACTTACCTTTAAAAATATGCAAAAAGATTCCACAGTACCAAACCCAAATAAATCGACTCAGAAACAATTACAATAGTCACAAAATGTGTCCAATAAACGTACCTAAAACTGCTATATACCACAATAGTTTATTATGAAAAAGGGGGTGAATGGGTGAGAGCATGGCACAACACCCCTATCAATAACAACATATAACAAATGGGGCTTTTTAGGTGCAAAATTGTTTTACAAAGACACGATTGTGTAAAAAGTTTTTGGCACCTAAAAAAGCCCCATTTGTCGTTATATGTTGTTATATCTCAAATAGATAGCCCATTTACATCAGTTCAGTAAGCAAGTACCTATTACTTATAAAGAAAAAAAAAATCTTGCCCCCACAATTCACAAGTTTATCTCAGATACTGTATTCTACACTCTTACATCAAAAAGGTCAGGTAGGTCAATGTTGGTAGCATTTAGACTGGCATATGTTCAGCACTTTTAGCCAGGCTGGGTTTCTAGTGCTTTAACCAGCGGAGTTATTCTACCCCTGAATGGGGATTACAGACAGAGGGTAGATAAGAGGTATGAGCTACTCAATGTGCTGCTGCTCCTTCAAAGTCCAAATACACGCCAGCATTGGTTTTGGTGTAGGCTGCATTGCTTAATAGCAGAATAGCCTTTAGGCTGATGTCACACAAGCAATCCTGTCCCTGGCAACAACTGGGCAACAATAGAATTGCTAAATTTACAATTTACCTGTTTTGATGGAGTCAGACCCGGAAGAGCAAAATATCACTCCCTCACTAGTAAGTGAAATTCAACAGAGTTCCAGACAGAAAGGGACTAATTCCTTTGATTTCATACAGACAGAAGAGGCTTCCACATGCTACAGCCTTAGGAGTGTCCAGTACCTGACTCTGTCCTTTGGTAGAGAAGCCTAAATCACAATACAGGCTAAATCCTTTAGCAGGTAAAACCGTTTATATTTATGTATTTCTACTGTGTATATAGTAGTTCGTCTGGAGTTCTGCTTCTCCTAAGCTAGCTGCACACTATGTGGTTTTAATGATCGACAACTTAAATCACAAATTGTGATTAAAAAAAAAGTTAGATAAAAGATAGTACAGGGGTTAAAACCCAAGTCCAGACAAAACTTGTTTTTTGTTTCACAAAAGAAAAGTGGAAAGGGACATAACTCTATTATAGAGATCTTTTCTCATACCTTACTGGGACAGAAACCGCAACAAAACACTTAAATAAAATAAAAAAGGTTAGAACCTCAATTAAACTCTTCCGATGCATGTCCATACCATTTCCATCCGATTGGCTTAAAGTGCCCCAGACACTACAGAGTTAAAAGCAAGATATCGCAATACCTGCAGAAAGAAGAGGCTCTATACTTCTCCTTTTTGGCAGCCAATGACTTGAAACACCACCCCTAGTACTTCACTGGCTGGAGGAGTCAAATACCAGTCTCCCTTATCGCATGCAGTGGCCCCTTCCACTGCCTTGTACATCCTGTAGCAGCCTCTCTCAACATTTTTACCCTAAAAGAACCCATAAAATAATCTTCAGGTCTTCGTGAACCCTTTCTAAAACAGATTAATTTGGGGTCAGTGGAAAAAAATTACCCTTACATTAGTAGTCAGTGGGAAGAATACTCCACTTAAGAGTGGTGGTCAGAATGCCTTCA